CAAGTGGGATTTATTCCAGGGATGAAAGGCTGGTACAATATTTGCAAGCCAATAAATGTGATACATCACATAAACAGATTGCAAGACAAAAATCACATGATCAGCCACTGTTGTTCAACATAGTACTGGAAGTCCTAACCATAGCAATCAGATAAGAAGAAAGAAATAAAAGGCATCCAAATTGGAAAGGAGGAAGTAAAACTGTCATTAAATGCAGATAACCCTAAAGACTCCATCAAAAAACTACTAGATTTGCCCTAGCTGGTTTGGCTCAGTAGATAGAGAATCAGCCTGTGGACTGAAGGGTCTTGGGTTCGATTCCCAGTCAGGGCACATGCCCAGGTTGTGGGCTCAATCCCTAGTGGGGGGCATGCAAGAGGCACCTGATCAGTGATTCTCTCATCATTGATGTTTCTATCTCCCTCTCCCTCTCCCTTCCTCTTTGAGATCAATAAAAATATATTTAAAAAAACTCCTAGATTTGGATGTGAGGGCAATCTGGCTAAAATATCTGTCACCCCATTAATCCCCAGGGTTGATTTGGCTGATCTGGCTGACTAGGCAGGTGTCCCCCTTCTCCCTCACCAATACATGTGTGTAGCTCCCGAAGCTGCATGCTCAGTCGAAAAAGACTTGCTAGGTGAGAAGAGGATGACCTTCGCCCTAGAGGACAGGACCTGTCTTTGGTCAAGAGTATACGAGAAGCTACACTCCCCTGCTAGAACCTCCAAACAATCTCTCAAAAAACTACTAGATTTAATAAATAAATTCAGCAACATAGCAGAATACAAAATTAACACCCAGAAATCTATGGCATTTTTTTTACACCAATAATGAACTCTCAGAAAGAGAAACTAAAAAAAAAAAAAAAAAAAAAAAAAAAAAACCATTTACCATTGCAACAAAAAAAATTAAGAAACTTAGGTATATACTTAACCAAGGAGGTAAAAGACCTGTACTAGGAAAACTACAGGACGTTGAAAAAAGAGATAGAGGAAGACACAAACAAGTGGAAGAATATACTGTGTTCATGGATTGGTAGAATCAATATCATTAAAATGCCCATACTACCCAAAGCAATCTATAGATTCAATTCAATCCCTATTTAAATACCAACAGCATATTTCACAGATCTAGAACAAAAACTCCAAAAGTTTATATGGAACTAAAAAGGAGCCTAATAGCCGCAGCAATCTTGAGAAAGAAGAACAAAGATGGAGGAATCACAATACCAGATATCAAGTTATACTACAAAGCCACTGTAATCAAAACAGCCTGGTACTGGCACAAGAACAGGCATATAGATCAATGGAACAGAACGGAGAACCCAGAAATCAACCCAAGCCATTATGTTCAATTAATATTTGACAAAGGAAGCAAGAGCATACAATGGAGTCAAGATAGTCTCTTCAATAAATGGTGTTGGGAAAATTGGACAGATACATGCAAAAAAAATGAAACTAGACCACCAACTTACACCATACACCAAAATAAACTCAAAATGGATAAAGGACTTAAATGTACGACGGGAAACCATAAAAATACTAGAAGAATCCAAAGGCAACAAAATCTCAGACATATGCCGAAGCAATTTCTTCACTGATACAGCTCCTAGGGCATTGGAAACTAAAGAGAAAATAAACAAATGGGACTACTTCAAAATAAAAAGCTTCTGCACAGCAAAAGAAACCATCAACAAAACAAGAAAGCCCACTGCATGAGAGAACATATTTGCCATTGTTATCACTGATAAGGGTTTAATCTCCAACATTTATAGGGAACTCATACACCTTAACAAAAGATAAACAATCCAATCAAAAAATGGGCAAAGGACCTAAATAGACACCTTTCAAAAGATGACATTCAGAAAGCCAAGAGACATATGAAAACATGCTCAAAGTCACTAATCATCCGAGAGATGCAAATCAAAACAACAATGAGGTACCATCTCACACCTGTCAGAATGGCTATCATCAACAAATCCACAAACGACAAGTGCTGGAGAGGATGTGGAGAAAAAGGAACACTCATGCACTGCTGGTGGGAATGCAGACTGGTGCAGCCACTATGGAAGACAGTATGGAGTTTCCTCAAAAAACTAAAAATGGAACTCCCATTTGACCCCGTGATCCCACTTCTAGGAATATATCCCAAGAAAACAGAAACACCAATCAGAAAGGATATATGCACCCCTATGTTTTTAGCAGCACAATTCACCATAGCTAAGATCTGGAAACAGCCTAAGTGCCCATCAGTAGATGAGTGGATTAGAAAACTGTGGTACATCTACACGATGGAATACTATGCTGCTGTAAAAAAGAAGGAATTCTTACCATTTGCAACAGCATGGATGGAACTGGAGAGCATTATGCTAAGTGAAATAAGCCAGTCAATGAAAGAAAAATACCACATGATCTCACTCATTTATGGATAATAAAGACCATTATAAACTTATGAACAAAAATAGATACAGAGGCAGAGCTGCCTCGAACAGACTGTCAAACTACAGTGGGAAGGCCGGGAGGGTTGGGGGGCAGGACGGGGGGCGGGGTAAGAGATCAACCGAAGGACTTGTATGCGTGCATATAAGCATAACCAATGGACATAAGACACTGGCGGGTAGGGGAAGCCAGGGGATTGTCAAGGGCGGGGAAAAAAGGGAGACATATATAATACTCTTTGTAATACTTTAAGCAATAAATAATTTAAAAAAAATGGGTAAAGGACCTAAATAGAGACTTCTCCAAAGTGGACATACAGAAAGCCAAGAGACATATGAAAAAATGCTCAAAGTCACTAATCATCTGAGAGATGCAAATTTAAAGACAATGAGATATCACCTCACACCTGTCAGAATGGCTATCATCAACAAAATACAAGTGTTGGTGAGGATGTGGAGAAAAGAGAACCCTAGCACACTGCTAGTGTGCATGCATACTAGTGCAGCCATTATGGAAAACAGTATTGTGTTTCCTCAAAAAATTAAAAATGGAACTCTCATTTGACCCCGTGATCCCACTTCTAGGAATATATCCTAAGAAATCAGAAACACCAATCAGAAAGGATATATGCACCCCTATGTTCATAGCAGCACAATTTACAATAGCTAAGATTTGGAAACAGCCCAAGTGCCCATCAGCAGATGTGTGAATAAAAAAGTTGTAGTACATTTACACAATGGAATACTACTGTAAAAAGGAAAGAACTCTTACCATTTCCAACAGCATGGAGGGACCTGGAGAGAATTATGCTAAGCGAAATAAGCCAGTCAGAGAAAGGTAAGTATCACATGATCTCACTCATATGGAATCTAATGAACAAAATAAGGTGATGAACAAAACAGACATAGAAGCACGGAACAAACTGGAATCTCAGAGGGAATGGGGGGCGGGGGGAAATAGAAAGAGATCAACCAAAGAACTTATATGCATACATGTATAACCCATGGACACAGACAATAGGGTAGTGAAGGCCTTGGGCGGGTTAGAAGAGGTCAATGGGGGTGGGGAAGGGGGGTATGTAGTACTTTCAACAATAAAGACTTAAAAAACGTGTGTGTGGGGGAGGGATTCAGGTTGCCTTTCTGCCAAAGAACTTGAACTGCCTTCATTTATATTCTCTTTCCATTTTAATATGGCAGGAGGGGCTAGAGATAGAGGAATCAAAAGCATTCCTGTTAACAGTCCTTTTTAACAAAAAAAAGGAGTATCATATCTCCTCAGCAGCAAGGCCGGGACTAGAACCTGTAGCCATCTCCCCCCCGGCCCCCCCCCCTCCTTGTCTAACACATTTTCGTACATCCGCACTTTATCTGGAAGAATAACTTAACAAATGCTATTCTAGTTTCATGCAGAAAGCGGAGCCGGCACTCCTCTCGACTGCTGACATCATTCATATTAATTTTAAAATCCTGGTCTCTCAAAAACGTGTTTCCCTCTGGCGATGATCCACTCGGCAGAAAGTAGGATGAGAATGGGAACCGGGCCGATTCCCTTTCACTTGTCAAGGATGCACTAAGTACTCCTGGAGCATTTGATGCTAAAGAGGGTCTGTACTGTGGCTCAAGTGGTGCAGGAAACATCCGCAGGTTCGCGCTGCAGTGAGACGGAGATCATGGTCACGGGCAGAGGTCGGAACCCGGCCTGGCCCGCTCAGGTGGACCGAGGGCACCGGGACGTAGGAAGGTGACCGCGGAGCATGCGAGAGGTGCCCGGGCCTGGCTCGACCGCCCTGAAACGACTTGGGAGGCAAAAGGCACCCAGGCCGACATGGTGCCCAGTTGCGGGCGCTTCCCCCGGCCCCCTGCCCCTGCCCAGAAGCAAGCAGAGCACTCACCTGACGCACGCACTCTCACCTCTTCAAAGCCGCCAGGCCAGAAGTCAGGTCTCAAGCGCGGGCGTTTAACTGCCCTGGGCGAACGCTCGTGGGCCTCGTGGGCCGTGCCACCGGACTACAACTCCCAGGGTGCACTACGATGGCTGGACGCCGTTTCTGGTCAGCGTCGACAGATATCCCAGCCAATAGACAGGAGAGCCTGCCCTCGAAGATCCAATCCCTCTGCGAAGAAGGCGGCTCTCCCGTGGCGTAGTTCCTCCGCAGTAAGTGGGCGTGTCTGCGGCGAGAGGTTCTGCCCCGCCCCCAGCCCTGGCTCCCGGATGTTGGTTTCCTGATACTCCGTGAGGTGAGTCCGCTGCCGGTGGGCGCGGGGTACAGCCAGTCGGCGACGCTGCCTTCCCAGGGGCCATCCCGGGCTTGTACGCGGCCGCGAAGTTGAGCCGCGCCCGGTGTGCGGGAGCTTCGTCAAGCCCGGGGCCAGCTGGGGCGCGGAGCCCGAGCCGGGCTTTTTCGGAGGCCGGAGCGGCTGGGCCTTCGGAGCCTCTGGAACGAGCCACCCCCGGGTCTCCGACGCCTCTGCTCGCAAGTAGGAGGCCTTCGCTGACTCCCGCCCCCGGCGCACGCGGCCTCCTGGGATCACCCCGTGGCGCCGGGTGAGCTGCTGGAAGTCTCCTAACCAGAATTCGGGACAGCCGGTGCCGGTGTCTGACAGCTTGAACTTTTCCCGGATCATGCTGCGCGTTTCTTCTGAGACTTCGTGCGCTCATCGGTGAAATAAAAGCAGTATTTCCCCCACAGTTTTCTCTGAGGATTTTATGACTTTTCTCCTTCACAAGATAGTTCTAGAAACTATCGGAAAGACAGACGCCCTCCACTCCCAGGGACTGTGTTGCCTTCAGGAGTCTGGAGTCAAGGCCAGTGAATGAGAAGGGCCTGTCTGCATCCTGTCCTCGACACCTTCAGGAGAACTTCGTTTCTAGCGTTTAGAACGACTTCTCCAGGGCTATGATCCCTCAGGCTTGAGCTGTTTGCGAGGAGAAGAAAAAAAAAGCTGTCTCCTGAGCCCCAAAATGGCAGCTAAGATGGAGATAACGCTGAGCTCTCAGTCCCACATTCAGGCTTCTTCCAAGCAAGAGAGGCACATCATAGCAAAGCTAGAAGAGAAGCGGGGGGCGGCTCTGCAAAAGGACTGCCCCAACCCTGAGGCCTCCCGCCAGAGCTTTAGACGGTTTTGTTATCAAGAGGTGTCTGGACCCCAAGAGGCACTCTCCCGGCTCCGGCAGCTCTGCCGGCAGTGGCTGCAGCCCGAGCTGCACACCAAAGAGCAGATTCTGGAGCTGCTGGTGCTGGAGCAGTTCCTGAACATCCTGCCCCCCGAGATCCAGGCTCGGGTCAGGCATCGATGTCCAATGAGCAGCAAGGAGATGGTGACTCTGGTGGAAGATTTTCACAGAGCAGCCAAGAGACCAAAGCAGTGGGTAAGGAGGGTCTTCTTTGATGGTCCCTAGGATTTTTCTTTTTTCTTCCCCATCTGGAAGAAAAGTCTTTGGTTTCTGGGCCCTCCCTACTCAGAGCCCAGAAATGGACCAGATGGCTTCAAACATGTTTTCTGGCCTCTATTTTGGGAACATTTCCCCTACCCCCAGATGTACCAGGTTTTCAGAAAACCCACCCATGGGCGCTTCCATGACAAAGTGGAGGATCAAGCAAGGTTATTGAGTCTTTGCTGACAGATCTCCCCTCCGTTCCTTTTGAAGGTTTCCTACCATCAGGATTCTTAGCAGATAGCGTAATCCTGTTGGGTAGGAATTTGATTTATGAGGAACTTCATTGAACCTTGTTCCAGTCAAGTGTCTTGCATATTGCCTTTGGATCAGGAAGTCACAGCTCAGTTGGCTAGTATCCCTTTCAACCCTCACCCTCAAAGTCAGACCAAAGCTGGATCCTCAGCAGGAAGCAAACAATCATGTGCTCTGGGGAATGGAAGCAGTTAGGGAACAGGAGTGGGGCAGTCCTCTTAGAGCCTTTATTAGGTAAAGATGGTTTTTAATGGCCCTTACTACACTGCTTCCCAATTCTACAGAGCCTGTCTACAGAGCCTGTTTTCAGGAGTAGTAGGGAGGCAGGTGGGCACAGGGTGGGAATCATGACTGACCCTGTTGTCTGCACCTGCTCTTTAATGACTTTGATTCCAGGCCTTGAGCAAGGCCCAAGCTTTAGGATTCTCCACTCAAGAAGTATTGGCTGATTTGAAGCAGCCTCATTGTGGTCATTCCCCATGTCCTTCCCTGTGTTTTCTTTGAGAGTTTCAGCGATCTCTATCAAAGTTGACCTCCAGTCCATTATCAGGAATTCCCAGGGCCAGGGGTCCTTACAGAGCAGTGAGAGGTCAAGCTGCCTGAGTCAGTCCTCTGGCTGCACTCTAATGCATGGGGCTTGTTCCTAGGTGGCTGTTTGTATGCAGGGGCAGAAAGTGCTCTTGGAAAGAACTGGACCTCAGCTTGGAGAACAGGAACTGCCAGACTTTCAACTGCAAACTCCTAGGAGATATCCTAGGGAGAACTGTTTGGAGGAGCCTTTCCAGGCAGGACTTCAGGACCAGTTTAGCCCCCATCAGTGGGAAAAATTCCCACTCCTTCTGGAGCCAGCCACCAAATTGGCTGGGACAGGTAAATGCTCTGTGCCTCCTCTCTCCCTCTCATCATTCTTCATCTCCATCAAAGCATTCATGGTTCTGAAAAGCCATAGACGAGATGATGATGTTTTTTTAAAATGTTGTATGTAATAGTAGATCTTTATGCCTGAAAAAATTTCACTGATTAGAATGGTAGTGATATGCCCAGCCGGTGTTGCTCAGTGGTTGAGCATCAACCTATGAACCAGGAGGTCACAGTTCGATTTTCAGTCAGGGCACATGCCCGGGTTACGGGCTTGATCCCCAGTGTGGGGCATGCAGGAGGCAGCTGATCAGTGATTCTTTCTCATCTTTGATGTTTCTATCTCTCCCTCTCCCTTCCTCTCTGAAATCAACAAAAATATATATTTAAAAAAAAAAGAATGGCAGTGATACTACACATAAGAACTATGTTTTTATTTTCTGTTAATGACTATTTGACAATGCAGTACACAACAGGACTGTTCTAGTGCTTTTCTGTCCCTTTTAGAGCTTCCTATATAATGCAGACAGATCCAAGTATGACCACTGATGAACTTCCATGCAAGCTGAGTTTCATCACTTAAAATGGTCCTATACTAATATTTAGAAGGGGCCTACACAATGTTCTTTTCATTAGAGAAAAAGCCCACTCCATATTATTTTCTGCCTCCTTCTCCTATGACATTTTCTGTGCTTTAAACTTTTGTGTCCACTTCCTTACCTGTCTCTGGTACAATGCCAGTATAACTCTCAGCCCTACTCCGCACAGCCCTGTGACTGCTAAAACTGAATGACAGTGACCTTTGGCCAGTCTTGGTGAAGTAAATATAGGATACAGCCAGCAAGTTAGAGAGTTACAAGAAAACTGGAGCCTTGATCCCTTCAGATTTGCTACAGTCAGTGAAACACTTTGATTTGATTATTCTCAGAATTCAAGAATGGAGAAGAACTGGGGTATCCAATAGAAAATCAGTGTGACCCTGGCTGAGGTCCTGCCCCATAATCTATGGCCTTTGTGGACCTGAATAAAGTGGACCACACACACTCCCTTCCCCTGGCTCAGCAAAGGCAACTGGCTGTGTGTACAGTATCTTCCTGCATTTGTAGATTCTCATGCTTCTCATCCCTAAGATCCAACAGTGTCTTTCTTCAGAGCTGCACTGTGCAATATAGTTGCCATGAGCCACATGCAACTGTGTAGATGTTATTTATTGATATATAATTCACATACTATAAAATTCACCCTTTTAAAGTGTGAATTTTAGTATAATTACAGTGGTTTTTAGTATAATTACACAGTTGTGCAATCATCACCACTAATTTCTGAATATTTTCATAACTTCAAAAAAGAAACCCATACCTGTTAGCAGTCACTCTCCACCCCTCCCTCTCTAATCCCTGACAACCACTGTCCACTTTCTGTCTCTTGATTTGCCTATTCTGGACATTTCATTGTCCAGCATCATGTAAAATGTGCTCTTTTATGATTGGCTTTTTTCACTTAACATATTTTCAAGGTTAATCCATATTGTAGCATGTATCAGTACTTTATTCCTTTTAAGGCTAAATGATATTATATTAATGGACATTTTGTTTATCAGTTGGTGGACATTTGGGTTTTCACTTTGGGGTATTATGAATAATGCTACTGTGAATATTTGTGTACAAGTGGACATGTTTTCATTGCTCTTGGGTATGGAGTGGAATTACTGGGTGATATGGTAACTATGTTTAACTTTTGGAGGAAACACCAGACTGTTTTCTAAAGAGGCTGTGCAATTTTACATTCCCACCAACAGTCTATGGGGATTCCACTTTCTTTACATCCTTGCTAACATTTGTTACTGTTGTCTTTTTTATTACAGCCATCCTATTAGGTGGGAAGTGGTATCTCGTAGATGTTTTGAGTTATTGCCCTAGTAACTAATGATGTTGAGCATCTGTCCATGTGTTTATTGGCCACTTATATATTCTTTGGAGACATGTCTGTTCAGATCCTTTGCTCATTTTTAAATTGAGTTAGTCTTTTTATTGTTGAAAGAGTTCTTTACATATTCTGGATACTAGATCCTTATATAGAGTTTGCAAGTGTTTTTCCTATTCTGTGGGTTGTCTTTTTACTTTCTTACTTTTTGTTGTTAATCCTCACCTGAGGATCATTTTCTCCATTGATTTTTAGAGAGAATGGAAGGGGAGAAAAGAGAGAGAGAGAGAGAGAGAGAGAGAGAGAGAGAAAGAGAGAGAGAGAGAGAGAGAGAGAGAGAAAGAAACATTGATGTGTGAGAAACACATTTGGTCGGTTGCCTCCCACTCAAGCCCTGACCAGGGCTGGGGATGGAACCTACAACACAGGTTCGTGCCCTTGACTGGGAGTTGAACCTGTGATTCTTCAGTGCTTGGGCTGACGCTCTAAGCACTAAGCATACTGGCCAGGGATCTTTTTACTTTCTTAATAGTATTCTTTGAAGCACAAATGTTTTTTATTTTAATTAAGTCCAGATTATCTGTTTTTTTCTATATCTGCTTGTGTTTTTGGTCACATATGTAAATTACCATTGCCTAATTCAAAGTCATAAGGATTTATATCTATATTTTATTTAAAGAGAGATTGGTTTAGTTCCTACATTTAGGTCTTTGATCCATTTTTAGTTAATTTTTGTATATAGGTGGGGATCTAACTTCCTTCTTTTGCATCTGGAAATCCAGTTGTCCCAGCACCATTTATTGAAAAGACTATTCTTTCCCTATTGAATTGTCTTGTCAACCTTGTTGAAGAGCAATTGATTATAATTGCATGGGCTGCTTACTTAAATTAATTAAAAGTGTAAAATCCAGTTTCTCAGTCACAGTAGTTACATTTCAAGTACTCAGTAGCTGCATTTGGCTAGTGGCTGCTATATTGAATAGCACTCGCACACACGTACACACACACATGTTGCCTACATGTCAGGAATTCTATGGGATAACACAGCTCTGGATCCTCTGACTATCCCACAGGCTATTCCAGCTAATTTCCATCCTGATTCTTAATCCTGTTGGTTAGAAGTTGGGTAGTTTCTGTAAATAGGATGCATATCTAACCCATATTCCAGGTTCCAAACACAAATGCTGTCAATTTTATAAGGAAAGGAAATTATACATTCATTGGTTTTACCATTATTTGAAGAGAAAGTGGTGGTCATTCAATGTCCACGAAGAGAGAGTGAATTTGCAAAGTTGACATTCCAACTCTCTTTCTTCTTTTTATTCCTTAGTTGATACTCAGGCCTTTGAGTTTGCTTTTCCCTATTTCTCCTTTCCTAAGCCTTTCCTAAAGTTAGGAAGGAGGGAGGAGGTTGGAAAACTTGGTTGGTAAGTGCCCCAGATGAGTGTAATACAAGTTGCCAGTAGAGGACCACAGATTGAGAAACCTTACAGTATATTTCATAACTCTTTTGCTGAGGTTCTTTCTTTGAAGCCCAAAATATAAAACAGATTCTTTCTATTATAGAGGCCCCCAGAATGAAAAGTGAGAACAAGGAGAATCCACAACAGGAAGGTGCTCAAGGAGCAAAGCCATGTGCAGTGTCACCCAGCAGACCCAAAGGGAATCGTTTGCAGAGTCCTGATCCAAGAGGGGCAAATATGAGTGAATCCCGGTTGTCACGAAGGCAGGTCAGCCCCCCAAATGCTCAAAAGCCATTCACTCACTTCCAGAGACATTACAGGGAACTGGAATATATCAGCAGCCCCCTAAAAAACCATCCACTGAGAGAGCTGAAGAAAAGCAAAGGAAGTAAAAGAAGCCTGAACAGTCGTTTGCAACGTCTTAGTCACCAGACGACCCACTCAGTGAAGAAACCTTACAAATGCGATGACTGTGGGAAAAGCTTCACATGGAATTCAGAACTGAAAAGACACAAGCGAGTCCACACAGGGGAGAGACCCTATACCTGCGGAGAGTGTGGCAACTGCTTTGGGCGGCAATCAACTCTGAAACTGCACCAGCGGATCCACACTGGAGAGAAGCCGTACCAGTGTGGCCAGTGTGGGAAAAGCTTTCGCCAGAGCTCAAACCTTCACCAGCATCACAGACTTCACCATGGGGACTGAAAGCAGAGCTTTGGTCTTTCTGTTCAGAAGGAAGGTATTCATGTTTCTCCTTCCCCTTACTTGCATATAAATTATAAAGACTGTCTGTGGGACTTACAAGGAACGCAAGAGGTCCCTGAAGAATGACAGTGTACATTTCACTGGTGAGGGATCCCAGAAGAAGCTGTTGGGAACATGACCATGCACAGTGATAGGTGAAGAAATGGCAGATCTGAGCATTTGGTTGAAAGGGAACTGGGGTCTCTGCTGGAGAGTAGGGCATAACTACTGAAGGAGCATCAGGATGATCCTGCAGGTGTCCCTGTCCCATGTTATATCTTCTGCACTGCTTTATTTATCCTCAAGGGTATATTCTATATATAGATATACATTTGCTGTTATACCAAGCAATCTTTATCATGCACACACTTCTTTAATAAAGATGGGTGATACACAAGAATTTCAAGGCAAAAGTTCATTGGAATATAAATACCCTCGTATTCTTTTTGTAATTCCTGGCTGCTTATAACAAAGGACACATGAAGGGAGAATATGAACATACTTGTGAGAGGAGAGGGTTTCTTTTTTTTTTTTTTTTTAATATATTTTATTGATTTTTTACAGAGAGGAAGGAACAGAGATAGAGAGTTAGAAACATCGATCAGCTGCCTCCTGCACATCTACTGGGGATGTGCCCGCAACCCAGGTACATGCCCTTGACCGGAATCGAACCTGGGACCTTTCAGTCCGCAAGACGACGCTCTATCCACTGAGCCAAACTGGTTTCGGCGAGGGTTTCTAAGTAATTAGTACTTTTTTTTTTTTTTTAATAATTTTATTGATTTTTTACAGAGAGGAAGGGAGAGGGACAGAGAGTCAGAAACATCGATGAGAGCGAAGCATCGACCAGCTGCCTCCTTCACACCCCCTACTGGGGATGTGCCTGCAACCAAGGTACATGCCCTTGACCGGAATCAAACCTGGGACCCCTCAGTCCCCAGGCCGACGCTCTATCCAGTGAGCCAAACCAGCCAGGGCAGTAATTAGTACTTTTACCACACACACACACGTATTGAGGGATCTTTTTATATCAAAGCACCCTTGATTTAGGAAAAGAAAATCTACACAGCTGCTGCAATCCTGTCCAAGGGATAGGGAAAAGCTACAACCAGGAGCAAGTAGTGGATGTAGACTGCTAAGCAGATGTCACAGGGAATCCTTACGACTCTCCTTTCTCACTTGCCAGTAGCTTTAGGAATAACCGAATAATTGGGCTAATGAAAATGTTCTAAAAGTGAATTATTTCAGTATGTTTACTAAGAATTATTGAAATGGGTTAATTATATATGTAATTAAGCCAAAATAAAGTTTCTGAAAATGACAAAATATATAAGACGTTAAAGTCCTGGAACTACGCCTGAGAGATTATCTAATCCCATTCCTTTATTCTCTCATGGAAATTAAAATGCAATTATTATACAATTTTTAGTTACCCTGGGCAAGCCAGCTGATCCCCCAGTTGAGAGAAAACTTTTGGTACATGGGTGCACTATCTCAAGCAGAAAACTGGTACGTAGCATTCTTCCTAAAGCATCAGTATCCTAAAGTCACTGCCAGTCACCTCAGGACTACGGCTTGTGCTGTCATTACCTCCCTCCCCATTACATTCTTCCTACAGCAGAGGGTCAAGTGCACACACCTGCATTCCTGCCTTCCAGATATTTGCACATAGTTTCCTTTGCCTTTAGAGCCTGCAACACTCACACCTCTTCCATCCTTTCTCACTTCACAAGAGTCGCCTGCTCTGCAAATCCTTCTCTGACAAGTTCTAGGCATACTTAGACTTAATGGCATGTCACTCCCTGCACCACTCTGCACACCAGTGGTGCTCAAGCTGGGAGTACATTTTGCCCCCAAGAGGAGATTTGGCAATGTCTGGAAACATTGTTGGGGAAGGAAGGATAGCTCCTGGCCCCTAGTGGGTAGAGACCAGGAGTACGGCTAAATATCCGACAGTGCACAGGATGGCCCCCACAACAGAATTATCTGACCCAAAATGTCAATAGTGCTAGGGTTGGGGAACTGTATCATACAGGATAAAAGATCTTTAAGGACAAGAACCTGTTTTACCACCATTTTAGCTATTGGACTTAGCCCATATGCCACCAGGAGAAATAGAGAAATAGGTGTCAGTAATTGAAGAGCCAGGGACTCCTCGGGGCCCATTTCTATCTGAATCAGATCCTGGTGACAATCTGTTGAATGCAGTGGATGAAACTTTTTATCAGAGGTGGACTTAATGGAAGCCTAGTGGCCTTTGTCATAATGTTTGGTGGCCCTTTAGACTAATCCACAGTCCTCTTCCCAACAAATACATTAGATATTAGAAGAGTTCATCTTCATTATTAGGCCTAGACCAGCAGTCACCAACTGGTGGCCCGTGGATCACTGGTGGTCAGTGAGGTCCGAAAAGTTGGTGACTGCTGGTTTAAGGAAACCTTTGGAGCAATGGTCGCCAACTGGTGGTCCGTGGACCATTGGTGGTCTGTGAGGTCCAAAAGGTTGGTGACCGCTGGCCTAGACCATACCTCACTCCTGTCTGCTGCCTCTCACTGGCCAGGGCCTCTTTGGTTCCTCATTCTGTTCCTACCTTCCCCACCTCCTTTTTCCACGCCAATTTCACTGTTGTTTCTTAACTTTCCTAATCTTACTTATATCTGTATTAATTTCTTATGGGTGCTGTAACAGATGACCACAAACTTAGTGGCTTAAGACAGCATAAACATCTCAGTTCCAGAGGTCAGAAGTCCAAAATCAGTTTTGTTGAGCTGAAATCAAGGTGTAAGTAGCCCTGGTTTCTTCTGGGGGCTCTGAGAGGTGAATCTTGTTTCCTTGTGTTTTTCAGCTTCTAGTGGCTGCTGGTATTCCTTGGCTTGTGGTCCCTTCCTCCACCTTTTTTGTTTTGTTTATTTGTTTGTTTGTTTTTAACATTTAAAAAAATATATTTTTAATTGATTCCAGAGAGGAAGGGAGAGGGAGAGAGAG